TTCCTAAGATATTCACCTAATGAACCTAAAACAAAATATTGCATTACCATTGAAACTTGTGGTAAATATGTAACTGATCCCATATAATTTGCAATAAATGGATTACGTAATTTACTCATTAATACACATTCATTAATAACATCCATCTTTAAATTTAATGTTTCTTCTTCTGTTAAATTTTCCCAACGAAACATTTTAACTGCAACAGGAACACTTCTATAACAACCTATATAAACTTTACCCATTGCTCCTTCTGCAATAGGCTCTTCTATTAAATTTAATTCATCTAAATCAATATGCGTAGATGATGCTGCTGTAGTATCAATTGTAAGACTTCCATGAAATCTTGAAGTAACTTTTTTTAATAACCTATTCATTGTTTCTTGGTCTGTAGAAGTCCATTCTTCAAATGTTTTTTCTTTTAATAAAACAGTTATTTCTCTTAGTGTATGTTTTGATTTACTAAACCAAACAGAATAAGGAATTTTTATATCATTGATTTTTGTAGTACAGTGAAGAGTCATATAACAAGTAACTTCTTTAGTTATTCTTGGTCTTATTATAGTAACTTGCTTTTCAAAATTAAATACAAATTTAGGATTATTTGGAGTATGAAAGATTATTAACATATATTTATTTCCACTTTTATTTTTAATTTCCATTCGTTCAAATCGTGTATCAAATACTTCTGTTGGAACATCTTTATTTCCAAAATCTAATGAAACTGGATTAATTTTAAATTTTGTATCTACTTCAGGATCTACTTTTTTACTTCCTGAAATATAATAATAATACACTGGTTGTTGTAATTTAAATATTCTTATATCTATTCGTTTAATCTTTCTATATAATATAATTCCAATAATAATAACAATAAATATAATAACAATAAGTCCACATAATAACCCAATACCAACATGTAAATATGTTGTTGCTGATGACTTTTCTTGACAAGATAATGGATCATCATCACTTGGAACATACCCTTCTATACAATAACATAAAGAATTACAATTCTTTCCTCCATCACATTCTTCTCCAATTTCATGTCCCTTACTATCCAGAATACTATCTCTTTGACCATTTCCACATGTCTTTTTCTTACAACTTCCAAAATATGATATATAATCATTTGGGTCACAATAACAATTCTCAAGACATCCTTCTGTTCCTCTAAAACATTCTAAATCTCCAGAAAGAACAGAACTAAGACATTTCTCTGATACACAATGATGTCCAGATAATATATAATTCTCTGAACAAGTACAATCATCTCGACATCCTTTTTCTCCAAAATAACATTGACCATTTCCATTATTTCCTTTAGGTTGCCATGTATTATTGTGCCAACATTTTAATATACAACTTTCACCTCCATAACCATCTTCACATAAACATTTTTTATCTCGAGTAGAACAAGTTCCATGCCCTTTATCATAATTACATTCATCAGGACATATAGCAGAAAGAACAATAGAAAAATTACTGTCTTGTTGATCTGTGAATAAAGTATATCTTTTTCCTTTTGAAGCTTTTGGATCAAGAGAAATTACTAGTCCATTTTTATAACCTTCAATAGTGTTTGATTTACCAAATAATTGTCCAATAAAAAGTTGTTTACATATATTAATATCATTATAATCAACTTCTTGAATAAATCTTATTCTATTATCAAATGAAACATCAACAGCAATTCTATATCTTGAATCAACATTCTGTTCAAAGAAATGGCCTTTCATTAATTTATCAGAAATACATGCAGGATAAAAGTTTTGACCTTGTTGAGTATTATCAAGTATTATTTCTGTTGATCCTCCATTTGCCATTAATGCATTGAATATGTCTTGGTTTATTACTAAATCATTTCTTGGACTATAATTGTCCATTGCTTTTATAGATATTGTAACTGAAGTATTTTGATCATCTGTTACATAAACAAAAAAGTATAAACGATGTTCACGATTAGATGTAACAAAACGTGGAACTGGTATAGGAAATGTTGTTGAATTAACTTCAGATGATAAAATATCCATAGCAAAACATCTAAATGTTTTATCATTTTGATTTGAGTCAGTTGAGTCAATTCTAACGTCTTGTTTATTTGATAAATTATTATGAGCAACATTAAACATAATAACTTTTGTTATTGTATTAATTTTATTAAAATCTATAAAGAGCCAATGGCCTCTTCTATAAATCATTTGATTATTAGAGTCTTTATAATGACAAGGTCCAGAGTCATAAAAAGTTGTACTATCAAAATTTAAAGTTATGCTTTTTTCATTTTTGAGTTCAGTAATAGAATCTGGTATTAATGTTTTTTTCTTTGTAACTTTAGAAGGATTTATTAATGAACACATTCCTTCAAAATTATAAAATAATGGATTTGTTTCAGAAATTTCTAAAGTTGAATCAAATGGTGTACAATGGTCACATGAATGATCATTTTCATATCCACTTGAACATGAATCTAGACATGTATAATCTGCAATACACTCAGATGTACAGCCTGGGCTACAATGAAATCCTTGACTTTTAGAAAATAAAAGAATATATATAAAATAACTAATTAAGTGCATCCTCTTCTTTTATTAAAAAAAAGTGTAGTTCTTTCAAAAGGGTTTTTTGATCAAAAAAACCATTTTGATAGTCAATTTTCCCAATTTCAATTTCACTGAATTTTATTTATTTTTTGTTTGATTATTTTATTTATTTTAAGGGGGGTTTCAATTTAATTGTTTTTTTTTTTAATATTAAAATTTTCTTTTAATTTCTTAATATATCTTGTGATTTTTATATTTCTTTTATCCTCTTTTAGTAACAATACTATTTTGTTTTCCTCTTTTTTTTTGATACGATAAAAACTTAAATCAAACTTTTTTAATATTTATTTTTACATTTTGTAAGAATCTTCGACACTTCTTTCCTTTTAATAAATATCGTTATATATAACATTTATCGTTTTAATAATTTAGAAATATAGTTCAACTCAAAGAAACAATAATTTTGTGTTTTTATAATAAGAAGGATGATATAATTTTTCATTAATATTAAGTGATATATTGTCATTAATGAATTAGTTACTAGAGAAGAAATTTATAAGAAATTTTTATATCATATTTAATTTGTTGTATAAATACCAATTAATTTAAATTTCCTTCTTCCAAAAATAAATCAATGTATTTCATGACATAAATTGAATCTTTTAGTTTATTTAAATGTAAAATATTTTTTACTTTGAAAATGATGAATGATATTCAATTTGTATGATGAAATAATAAATAAATTTAAGTACTTTTTGTTGAAGTAAAGTAACTTTTAATCTACAGATGTTTAATTGAAAATATTGATAATGTTTATGTGTGATAATAAATATTGTTTTTATTATAATAATTTGTAAGATGTAATTTTTTTTAGCTTCAAGTAAAGATGTAAATGAAATAAATAATATTCTATGAGTAGTAAGTAAATAGTCTTTCTATATTTCCTTATTTTAAATGTTATTATTTGGATTTATTAGTATAAATTATAATTCTAAACTTTTGCTATTTACTTTAAAAACAACAAATAATTTAGAATTGTTCGTACCAAATTATTAGTTGTATATTCATTAGATTAACCCTAAACTAATTCTTGTTTTATAAACATTTATCTTAAAGTACTTACTATTTGAATAGTTGTTAGAAATATCAACAACTTAAAGTATTGTTTTATTTTGTTTTCAACTAACCAATAAAAAAATCAATAAAAGTATTTATATACTATATTGTCATAGAAATAACAATACAAAATTGTGTAGAGAACAAAAATCTAAATAAAGTTTTCAGCCAAAAGTTTATTTACTCTTAATTATTATTCATATCATTAATTTTATTCAAATTTTTCATTGATATTCTTTGTCTTAAAACTAAAAAGTTATAAAATGAATCAATTCATTTAATATTATAAATTCAAAGTTAATTTTAGAATTATTTAATTTTAAAAATTCGCAATTTGAACATAAATAATAAAAAGAAGTTAATTTTGAAGGATTTGTGAGGAATGTATTTAATACTTTTTCATCATAAAATTCTTCAGGTATTCCATAAAATTGTTTTACAGTAGGAATGATATGTTTTGAATCTTCTACATATTTTAATAAAGGTTTAACTACATTAATATCTTTAGCATTTAACATAAGTTCTTCTTTATTAAAAGTCATTCCTTCAAAACTACGTTCATTCATTTCATCAAATCCAATTACTTTTATTTTGTTATTAATAACAACATCAAAAGTATCTAAAAATTAAGTATTTCATATTAAATTATAATAATTTTAATTAAATAAAACAAACAACTATCAGAAAAATGATGATTTTTAATAATTTCAAATAATTCATTAACTTTCTTTATAATTTCTTTCTTTCTTTCTTGAATTTTAACTTCATATGCATCATTATATCTTTGTGAAATAATAATTAGTTCTTTGTGAACTACAAAACATCTAAACTCATCAGAAATTCGAATCTCTTCAAATTTTCGAATTTCTAATTCATTAGTCTTTCCTTCTTGTCTATGTTTTTCAATTAATTCTTGTACTCTTTCAGAACCTTGTAATAACATCATTCCTTCATTTCCATTACAAACTTTTAAACTACCATTCATCCACTCTGCATCAACTAATGCTTTTCCATTAATTTTTAAAAAAACTCCTCCATATAATTGGACGTTTCTTTCGATTATTTGATTGAACCATTCAATTTCACTTTTCCAATTTTCTTTTTTTTGTTTTTCTTCTTTTTCTTTTTTTTCAAATATTTTTTCTTCTTCTTCTTCTTTTATTTCTTCAATTCCACTCCATGTAAAATTACTTTTGACATCTCCTTCTATTTCTTTAATACATTCTTCATCTAATTCAACTACTTCTCCTTCAATAAGAATTGATTGAAATAATGACTGAACAGTCGAGGGTTTCATTTTATCTTTTTTAAGAACTAAAAAATCTCAGATCTCAAGTTCAAATGTGTGCTTTCCACGCCAAATTTAAAGAAGCAGCTCTTTTTAAAAGAGTAGTTGAATCACTTAAATCTACTATTGACAAAACTAATTTCGATTGTAGTGATGCTGGAATAGCAGTTCAATGTATGGATAATTCTCATGTATCATTAGTATCGCTTTTAATAGAAACTGATGCGTTTGATGAATTTCAATGTTTAAAACCAATTACATTAGGAATTAATTTAACACATTTATCTAAAATACTTAAAGCACTTGACAATGATTGTGGATTAATTCTAGATGTTAAAAAAGTAGATGATGCTGTTTTATCAATTACTTCTGAAGGAACAAATAAAACAATGAAATTTGGTTTAAATTTAGTTGATATTGAAGCAGAAAGTGTTGAAATTCCAGAACTTCAATCTGACGCTATTATTACACTTTCATCTGCAGAATTCCTCAAAATTACAAAAGACTTTAGTGCTCTTGGAGATGATTCTATTACTATTGGATGTACTAAAAATGAAGTCACTCTCACTACTAAAGGTGCTATGTGTGAAACTTGTATGACTCTTTCTGCTCTTGAAAATGTTGACTCTAATGGACTTCAAATAGAACATAATAAAGATGTTACTGCTTCATTTGCTTTAAAACAAATTAGTGAATTTGCTAAATCTGCCCCTTTGGCTGATAATGTTAAATTATCTTTAAGTGGACAAGCACCACTTATAATGGAATTTAAAGGAGAAGCTTGTGTGTTAAAATTCTACTTAGCACCAAAGTTTGATGAAGAAGATGAACCTCAAGAGTAATTAATTTCTTTGATGCATTTATTATTTTTGTTTTTTTTTTATTTTCTTTTTCAATTTCAAAGAAACATCATTTTTTATTTTTAATCCAAAAAATGAAATGAAAGTTATATTATTAAAAAATGAAAGATAATGACAGAGTTATTGAACAAAAGAGTTATCAACTTAATGTTATATTCTTTTTTTGAATTTGTCATTATATTATAATGAGAGTAGTTGATTATATAACATGTTGAATATGTTAAACTTATCTTCATTAATGAATTAATTAATTTTAAATTCTATTTTCCTAATAGTAGAATATTCATATTTTTTTTTTATAAAATAACAAGTAAATAATGGAAAATATTAAAAAAATAATATATTATTCTATATAAGTATTGGTTCAAGGATTTATAAATATAATTGGATTATTCTTTTATTTTAGAATTATTATGATATTTTTCATATGACTATGTCATTGTTACTACTTTAAATTTATATTACCAATTTATACTAATAAAACTGATTATTAAATTACGTACATTGAATTAAAATAACTTGGTTATTCATTTAAACCTGTTAGAGTGAGACATTGTATACACACAATAGGGTTATAAGTTATTATGAAAACTTTTACATAAGGTATTAAAAAATGATTTAAAATAGACATTTCCTCTATTTTAATTTAACAATTCAATCATTTATTTTTGTTTATTATTTCTTTCATTGTTATTTATTATATTATTAATTCAATCTTATTTGAAATTCTTTTATTTTATGGTATTATTTAGTTTTTTCTCTCTATTCTTTTTTATTTTTCATAAATTCTCTTCTTTTTACTATATTTTTTATTTTACTGTTTTGAATAATTTTCTTTTAGTCTTCTTATCCACACTTCAGTAATTCCTTATATTACACCATGTAATATTCTACCATAATAAATTATTGCACTATTTGTAGCATTATCTAATACATTTCTAATTCAAATACACTGCCATAACCAGATAATAATTGGAAGAGTCAATGCTTGAATTGTATTAGGGATTGTGTGTGGTGTTTCAGACATACCACCTTCGATCTCTATACATTAATAACAATAAAATAAGAAGAAGAGAGAATATAAAAATGTGAAATGAAATAATATTTAAAATAAATAAGAAAGAAGAAATAACAAGGAGAATAAAAATAAAGAATAAAATTGTTACAAAACAAATATAAAGAATGAAATATCATTTAATACAAGATGAAATATCAATTCAACATATTGAAACAATCAAATAAAATGAAATAAAATAAAAATGAATAATCATAACATCATAATTAAATAAATAATGAATGAATGATTTCATTTCATTCATTTGATATTTTATTCTTTATTTTATTATCATTTAATTTGTTTATTGTGTATTTCTTATCATTTAAATTATAAAATAAACATTCTTTTTATTCTTTAAAAAATTCAATTATCTTCTTTCTTTATTTTTTCTTTATTCTTCAAAGCAATATTCTGGTATTGTTTTATTCTTCTTCACAACCACAATGATAAAAACATCCAACTCAAAATGATGTAACTGATGATGTCATAGTAACCGATGTTAGTGATGTACAATTACAAAAACATCCTTCTCTTATTTTATTAACCCTTGGTGGTATTTCAATTGATTTTAATGATGAACAATCATAAAAGCAATATTCTCCTATTTTACCAACACTTGTTGGTATTTTAATTGATGTTAATGATGAACATCTATAAAAACATTCATCTCCTATTTTACTAACACTTGGTGGTAGATTAATTGATGTTAATGATGAACATTCATAAAAACATCCATTTCCTAATTCATTTACATTTGTTGGTATATTAATTGATTGAATATCACCACACCATCTAAAACATCTATTTCCAAGTGAATTGACTTCTATTGGTATTGTATTTCCATATTCTTCTCTATCTTCTTTTGTGTATTCGATATTTTTACAAATATTTCCTTCTTCTTTCTCTTTTAAATATTTTGAATAATTCACTTTATACCATATTACATATTTAAATATTTTTCCATCTTTAAATATTTCATCTTCTTTATTATAAATATGAAATGTTTCAATATTAGGAAACAATTTTCTTGAATATTGATTCAATGGAATTGGATTAAAATGAAATCGTTCCATATTTCCTCTAAATCTTTTAACTCCCATTTCTAAATTAATAAAATCATTAATATCTTTAAAATACTTTGATACTATCTTTATTTCATTACAACCTAATTGCATTCTTTCTTTATTATTTTATTAGTTCTTCTTTTATTTTGAGTTAAACTAAAATTTATTTTTAAGATAATCGTCATTCATTTTTTCTTCTTTTTATTTTTTTTAATATAAATTATTAATAACAAATAATTTATACCTCAATAAATTATTATTTATTTGATGAAATGAATAAAAAATAAATAAAATATCATAGAAATGAAACGAATTATAAATTACAAATGATAAATATTCAATTAATAAATATATCAAAAATTTGATAATATGAATAATAAAGAAATGAACAAATCAATGAATGTAATGTATTTATTTCTATCTTTCTTTATTTCAATCATTTCAAATTAAGAAATTTCATTTTTTAATTTATTTTTATTATTTGTTAAATAAAACATTATATAATTCATATTTATTAATATAAATGAATGTAATATCATATTTGACTTTAATTGTAAATTTAATACATATAATATTCATATTAATTCATTGCATATTAAATTAATAATGATATTAAATGAATTATATCATTATAATGTTATTTCTCTTTTTTTATTTTATTTTATTTGTAATTCATTTATTATTAATTCATCATATTTTTATTTAATTGAATTACATTCATTATTTCTATTATGATATTGTTTATTTCTATTTGAATTATTAAAATATATAAGAAGATGAAAATGAATGAAATAATTCCTATAATTTAATTGTTATTATAATATAAATAGTATCTATTTTAATTCATTATTCTATTATTTATATTTCTTATTAATGTAAATTTCTCATTCTTTTGTTATTATATTTTTTGTAGTGTCTTCTGATTTTCATTTTTAATCAAAGAAAAACAAATGAAAAAAAGATAAAGGAAAAAGAAAAAAATTGAAATAAAAATGACAAAATTTTTATATATTACAACCATTGCATATTTAATTTTATTTCAATTTCAGAATAATGACATTTGAAATGATAAAATAATGAAAAGTATTAACAATACAATTAAAAGAATAAACAAAAGAAGTTGAAATATAATACAAAATAATTCGATTGGTTTTATCTATTTTTAATTCAAAGAAATTCAAGTCAATAAAACTGATAAAAATGAATGAATAAGAATTAAATATCATTGTAATTTTACACTGATGATAATTTTATTATAATTTTATTTCATGAATATGCAATTTACAATTATAATCATATTGAAATATTAAAATAAAACTGAATAAATATTAAAATAATAGTGTTTAGTAATAAAACAAAAGATGTTTATAAGAATTAACAATCATAAAAATAACATAATTAAATAACCAATTCATTTTCTGAAATATCATTAATTAATCTAAAACAAAACTTATTAAAAATTAAATGGTAAGATTAATAATATAATTTTATTTGAATGGATAATTCATTTCAAATAACCCACTAAATTCACAACACAAATTGAAAATAGTAATAGAGAATAGTATTCACAACAATTTTTAACAAGAAATGAAGATATAAATAAATATAAAAGATGAAAAATGTTTTACTGTTGAAGATACAATAAATAATGAAGAAATTAAGATTAAAGAAGAGAAAGAAAATAGACCATAAATAAATGATATGATAATTGGAATATGTCTGAATGGAAGATCATTGATAAAAAAGCAATTCAACAAAAAATTTCTCTTTTAAATATCAGTAAAGAAATTGCAAAAGTAAAACAAATTTCAAAAGATTTTGTGTTTGAAGATCAAGAATGATTTAAAATATCAAGTGATGATGAACAAAAGTTAACATTAACATATACTTTGTATAATAACAATGCCATTGTAACAACACAAGTATATGAAATAAATGGTGTATTTTTTTATTGAAGAAAATAAAAGTATTCAATAAAAAGTGTCTAATTTAATGATGCAAAATATTTAATATTATTTTATTGATGAAAAACATTTTATTCCTTTTTGTTTTTTTTATTTATATGTATAATTTCATTATGATATTTATTTTGGTTTGCTTTTTTTATTTATGAGTATAAATCATTAATACATCAAATGTTATTATTTCATTATTGAAAAGAATTATTATCAAACACATTGAACAACAAAATATTTGTATAATATTTCTCATTTTTTAATATCAGTATTTCCATCATAAAACAAATTTATTTTAAATGAAGATGAATTTACAAATATATTACATTATTTAAAAGATGAAATATAATAATAAATAGAAATAACCCCCGAATATATAATATAGAGCAATAAAAATATAAGTACAATTAATAACAATGAATATTTTGAAAAAAAAATAAATGAAAAAAGACATAAGAAGTAATATATACATATTATACTTTCATTCATAATAATTTTGATAATAAAAAAATGACTATAAATCTTAGAAATAGCAATAAGAGTAATTAAAATATTGTAGTCACAACAAAAATATTAATAAATAATAAATAAAATAATTAATTCAAAATATTTTACTTTGAGTAAATTAAAAAAAAATCTAAAAAAAGAATAAAAAAAAAGAATATTTTATTTTACCATAAAATTGTTGTATAAAAAAAAACATCGATTCTAGTCTAAACTTCCTATGATTTTTTTATAAGTTATTTTTGAAAAACCAATGAATTTAGTCAACGTAAGATTAAAAAATACTTGCAGAAAAAGTATTTGTACCCACGAATAAAAAAACAATGTGATTAATTTAATACAGCAACTTTATTTCTTAATTAAACAATTTATTTGTCTTTCTATTAAGACTATAACAGATTATTGTTTGAGCAATAATTCATAACATAGTTCTCAAAAATATGAAACTTTTAATATTATGCGAATAAATCTGAACAAAAATTTTATTTCTCTTCGACTAAAAAGTTCAAGTGCAAAAAAATAAAAGAAGAGATTAAGACGAAATTCCAATTTTATTTTTGAATAATTTCTTTAAAATTCTATTCAATTATAAAACACGGAGATTTTATGAAAAGATTGAGTGGAATGATTCTATTTATTTGATTTATTTCTATTTCTTTTTATAAAAAGACTTTTTTAATAAACATACTTTGTATATTTTTCAATAATTTTTTTTGAACTTATAAGTTAAATTCTTATGGTATCAATTCCATGGCTTCTTCGGGTTGTTGTTGGATCACTCCTTCTTGGTATAACATCAACTGTTTTTACATTTATATTTCCTGCAGCTGATCTCAATTTTAAATTCCGTCAGTCACTTGATGCTCCAAGTTTTCTCACTCAAACAAGATTTAATCTTAGTAACTTTAATTATGATGGAGAGTGTTCTAAAGTATTTAAAAGTGAAAAAAATAATGAAAGAGATATATTATTACTTGGTGGTTCTTTTCCTCAAGTAAAAAAATGGAAAGACTCAGAGGCAATGGTTTATGGTCAATTTAAAATGAATTTAGAATCTATCCCAAATGCAAAGAAAGTTTTTGTATTAATTGGTAATCCACCAACACCAGACTTTATTGAAAATTTGAATAAGTGTGGAGTAGAAGTTGTTCAAGCAAAAAATGTACCTCAGGGAAATGGTGTTATTATTAGGTTCTTTGCATGGTTAAATTATTTAAAAGAAAATAAAGGAAAATATGACCGTGTTGCATTATCAGATATCCGTGATGTATTTTTATTTGGAGACGCATTTGCTACATTTTCAAAAGATGAATTATATTTGTCATATGAATGTTTAATAAATAAAAGAGGAAATATTGAATGTAATGATTTTAGAGATTCTTGGAATCGTGGATGGATCCGTCAATTCTTTGGAGAAGACATAGCTTATCAATATGCTAAAAATCATACCTTGATAGTTAATGCAGGATTTACAGTTGGAGGATATGATAAAATGGTAGATTATTTAACTGTATTAACAGAGTCAATGGAACAAAAATATTTGAAATATTGGGGATATGATCAAGCATTATTAAGTTATCTTTACACTTCAAGAAAATTAGATTTCTTAAATCCAACGACAGTTAAATGTGATCAACAATTTTGTTTTGAATTAAGAGGAGGAAGTAGGTATGACTCTAAAAAGAAGTCATTGTATGTTGGAAATTCAAACTGTTCACCTGTTATTAGACATAAATTAGTTGTTAAAGGTTCTGCTATCAGATTAACATAACAATTAAAACAAAAACACGATTTTTTAAATAAACAATTTTTTACTCAATTTTTTATTTTTAATTAACAATACTTTTTTGTTTATATTTAAAAGTAATACGATAATTCATCTCTGTTGTTTTCTTTTGTTACAAATCTAAATCAATTAAAATTTCATATGTTAAAGTTACAATTTTATTCATTAATAATATTTTATAAAAAAAAAATAGATAATACCTTGTCAAAAATTTACAAAGAATTTAATTTCTTATGATGAATTTCATTTTATAAAGTATTTAACAAAATAAAATACCAAAACAAATATAAATGAAATGTATTTTATGGTAACATTAATGGTTTATTTCTTTTGATTAACAATCCTTTTAATGCAGTTTGTCTAGGACTTTCCATGTCTTTAGTTCTTTTGAATGTATTAATAGAAACGGAAGATGATGGAAGAGAATGTAATTTAAATAAATCTAAAGAATTTTTAAATGAACCAAAATTTGGATTAGCTTGATTTAAAGTTTCATGAAAGTTACAAAGAAATTCATTTTCAAAACCTAATTGTGGAATAGGTTCTGAAACAATAGACTCTACTTCATTAATAGTTTCGTCTATAATAGGTTCATCTCCTTCATCTTCTTCTGATTTAAAAATAACTTTAATCATATTATCAGGAATTCCTGAACTATCTAAATTCATTGTTTGACGACAAGATTCTTTATTCATATGTTTCATATATTTATTTCTAACTTGTTTATTTCCAATTTGTCCTTCTTCTATAATTCTAATTCCACTTAATTCAATTAATATTTCACTAATAGTGTCTTGAAGTAATTTTAAATTTTCTTCATTAAGAATACTTATTGTTAAACATTCTCTTCTTCTTTTTTCTTTATTTTCATCTATTGGTATTGTTAATTTTTCAATTTTAGGTAAAAGTTCATTTATTTCTTTTGTTTTATTTCTATCTCCTAAATAAGCTTTTGCTAATGTACAACTTACTTTATCTAATAATTTAATTCTTCTATCACACCATTTCATCATTACTTTAGCTATTCCAATAGCAATTCTTTTTTTTCTTGTACTATTAAATTCAATAACATCAATATCAACTAATTGATTTGGAATATCATTTATAAAAGGTGATGGAAGAAGATCAAGACAAACAATTAGAATTTGTGACAATTCTTTTATTGTAAATGAATAAACATTTTGGTTTTCTTCATAATCATTAATAATTTCCATTTTATTCAGTAAATTTATATCAAATAATTCTTGATTACATGCTAGTTTTGGAGAAAGATATAATGAATCAATAAGACATTCATATAACCCACTTTCTACTTCATCTATATCCATTCCAAGCATTCTCTTTTTTCCATTACTTAAACAGTCTCCACAAAAAGTATGATACCATCTCATTGTATTTTCTATATCATCAGTTAATAATGCATATGTAGGAACGTCTTTTGCTTGATTAGTGATTTGAATTGCTTTTGTTAAAAGAATACTTGGTGTTTTTGTCTTTGGATTAAATACTAAACGTAATTGATAATAACCAATATTTAATATTAATGATGGTTTTCTTTTAATTTTATAAAAGAATAAGAAACCATCTGAATATACTACAGTATAAGTAACAAATGAACTTTTTGATTGAAATTGATTTGAATTATATCCAGAACATGTAAGTACATGAATTAAAGTATCATTTAATGGATGAGGAACACAACGTTTTAATAATTTATTTTTAGGTATACTTAAATATTGAACAGGAATTACTAATAATTTACTCAAATCACAACAAAGTGAAGCTGTAGCAAATGGGTTAATCCATTGAATTGCTTTACATTTATTGTCTAATTGAAGAAATCCAAATTCATCATCTTTTGTTCTAAATAAATGAACAAGAGAAGGAATGGCATGAGCTAATGGTTTTGATGGATCAACATTTGTTTTATATTTTAACATAAATTGTGGACTTCCTTTTTTGCAAACAAATAATAATGATACTGCATCAATTCTAGAATAAACTGCAAAAAAATCTTCAGGATCATTTCTATAATTTTCAGTTTGTAAAAGAACTTCTTCAACAGTACATTTACTTGGTAATGTAGCACCTACCTGAAGTAATTTAGTTGGGGCTAAAACAAATTCATAACTTTCTTCTCTTAATTCTTTTACAATATTTTTTATTTGAGTATCTAATGATACTTTAATTTTAATTGGATAATTATAAGATTCTTCATCTGCTGGTAATAACACCCATAATATAACTTCTCTTGGCAGAAGTTTCTCTTCATTTTTATTACCATTAAGAATATGAATTAATGAATATTTTCTTTGGTGTTCAAATTCATATACTTTTTGTAAATTAAACCCATTACATTTACAAATAAATTCTCTTGACTCTTTTTCTTGAGACATTTTAAATTGCTCTTCATCTCCCATTAATGGGTCTTGAATTAAACCCTCTATATATTCACAAATCTCTTTTGACCTTTTAATTAAATATGGCGTTTGTTGATATTGAACAATTGTTTTAACTACTTTACTTAATGTTCTACATTTATCTAAATTAATTAACACAGTCTCTGTTTTATTTTGAACTGATTCAAATGCACTTACAGCTGAACTTGTCATATCTTCAGTAAAAAGTAAGTCAGTAAGAAACATTCCAAGATAAGGTAATGTTGCACCAACTGCTTTACGGTGGCATTCTCTTAAATTTTTGAAATTATTAGAGTTTTGAGTAATTTCTTCTAATTTATCAAAAATACAATTCCCATCTTCTCCTAAAAATCTTTTTGTTAAACGGAGACGATGAATAGATGCTTTAGAAAATGCTGATGCAATTTCCATCACTCCATTAAAATTATTTAACATAATAAATCCATTACCAACTTCAAGTATTTGTTTTGCAATAGAAACTCTATTACTAACATCAGGTGCATTAAGTAAAAGCCTTACAAAAACATCATTCATTGAATTAAAATGATGAACAAAATTAAAGATATTTGGTGAATTTATTTCTTTATCTTTTTTATTCCATGCATATAATTCAGGTGGTTTAATTGCTTTAAACATTTCCCATTCAATAAGTGTAATTTGTCGTGAAATCATCAAAGGATCAAGTAAAAGAAAATTTGGAATTGATGTAAATAAACTCATACCAGTTCCAGCTGGTTCTTCTACTATTGTAGTAATAAACTCTTTTCTTTCTAATCCATCTTGTAATTTATGTTTAGCAATAGTGTCACCAGAAAGGTTATATAAAGAAATAAATGATTGTAATATTTGAATTGTTTCATTATCACAACCATTCCACATTTGATTTACCCATTTTTCAATAATTCTACTAATTGTAGTTAATATAGATGATGTACCAATATTATCAACATATTTATCATATAATTTTTTTAAAACAATATTTTGCTCTGAAACACATCCAAATGTATATATAAAAGTATCTCTCATTTCTTCATCACATTGCTCACTTATGACATAATCAATTAACCCTTCTAATGTAGCATATTTAACAACATCCCCTTCTAATATTACTTTTCGATTTTCATATTTTCTCACCGTAGCAAAGTTTGGTCGTGATACTTTCCATGTTTCACGTGGTGAATTAAATGTAAATCCATTTCTTGTTTCCATTTCATTAATTAAAGAACTTGATGTTTTACCTTGACTGACTTTAGTAGTAAAAGGGATTGCATTACCTAAATAACTATTAGGTAATTCTGGAGTAACTGGTGTAGATTTACTTGTTTGATTAATGGTAATATTTTCACATGATTTTGTCATTCTATTACCATTTTTTGATAATAAATGATGAGACGAAATTGATAAATTCATAGGACTTGTTGGACTAAATTTCTTCGGTGATAGTGGTGTAGACATTCAATTAATAAAAATTGATTTTTATTCTTTAAAGTACTTAAAAGCTCTTTGTTTTTTTAGTCAAACCTCCAAATCATTTTATTTCTTTCTTTGGAAAATAACATGACGTTCATCTCCTTTCTTCTTTTTTGGTCTTTTTGTTTTTGATTTTTATCCTTATCTTCTATTTATAGAAGATTCATGTGAACTAATAACTCACTTTATTTGTTTCTTGTTAAAGACAAATTAATCTTTTGAACTTAAACAATTAACAAAAAGACATTTTTGTTACTCTTAGTTTACTTTATTAGTCACACTAACCTTTTCACTTAAAAAAAATTTATAAAAAAAAAAACTATTTAAAAAGAATACAACTTACAAAGAAAAAATTTTAATAGTTAAAAAGAAAAATATTTGAAAAGTTTCTTTATTAAGATTGATCATTCTTTGTTTATTTGAAAGTATTGTTACTAATTTTTTTACCCTGAATGGGTTTTACTCAAGTAATTTTACTTTTATTATTATTATTATTTTTGTTTTTAATATCAATCATTAAATGAAGAAATATATCAAATAAATTCAGTTATTAAAATATATTCTTTTCACAAAAATTAGGTTTTATATTTAATGTTTTTTTTTCATTATTAAATTTCCTTATAATTTGATATTTATGATATTTAAATTTTAAATATTTATTTTTATTTCTCTTAATTTTAATAATTAAAATGTGTATTATTTAAGAATATTATCTATTTTATACAACACTCTCTTCTTTTCTGCTAAACTTTTTTAGAGAATAAAACAAGTGTTTTGTATTGTTTTTAAAAAAGATAATATTTCATTGTGAAAAATAATAAAAGAATGTTAAATTTTCTCATCTAAAAAAAAAGTAAATTAAGAGATAAAAACTAATTTAATTAATTTATAAAAAATTAATAAGAAACTAGTTAAATTAAGAATTTATTTAATTAAAAAAGATACAAAGAAGAATGATATATTTTTATAAGAAAAACTCAATAAAATCACATTAAACACTGATATTTATTCAATTTAATTAAAAACTAATATTTATTCATCCAATTGTATGACAACTATTCGTCTAGAAAATGTCTTTTTAAAGAATGTATTGTTCTATTTAGAAACAATGGATGATGTATGTAATTTTAATCAAATAAACAAAAAATGTGGAGAGGCAATAGCAACAGTTTTTATTAATCCATACAAACTAAGCCAATTTTACACATTCAGTCAAATAAATAAAATATTTCCAGCACTTCAAACATATTATTGTTCAAAGTCATTTTGTACACCAAAAATGAAAGAAGCAGGTAATATGCCATTAATGGAAATTGGGACATGGGACAAAGGATTGCCTACAACAGTTTTCTCAACAAAATGGTTTGCAGAAAAAGTTAGAAAAATAAGAATAACTCGACCTATTATTTATTCATTTATTAAAGGAATTAATAATTACAGAAATCTTATTCATTTAACTATAACAATTGAATATAAAGAAGTTATTGTAATAGAAAAGATAATTCAAATTAAATCAATACAAAAAATTATCGTTTATT